TGTTACAAATATAATTACGCATTTTAAAGAAAACGCCGAAAGGGGAAGAAATTTTTTCATAAATATTCAATAAGATTTTTCCAAAAAAGTTGTTCGTCAACATTCGAACCTAAAATTTCAGTTATACAAGAATATTTTTTGTTCTGACCATGGAAAACTCTTATTAATTGTGACTTCCTCTTGGTTATAAATATGAACGAGTATTTTGCTATATTAATTGTTAATTTGTGACTACTAAACCATGACGCAGTTTAATTTCTCTGCTCAAGCTCAAATCAGAAATTGAATTGATATAAATGAGAAATAAAACAGGTCCCAGAATTGAACCTTGTGGAACGCCATGTCTTACACTTCTTAATTATTCTATCTCCCATACATATAAACTGCTTTCTATTATGTAAATAACTATTGAACCACGCATGAATTGAGGCTCTAATTCTGATGTGAAACAATTTTTGTAATAAAATTTTATGATTGACTATCAAAACCACAGAACATGTAGATATTCTGTGACAAGCTATTTCCATTATCAGATCATATCAGAATATAACGAAATTTGTCTGTGTCAGAAGTTCAACTTAGAATTGATGATGATGATATACTTTATTGAACATGAAATAAATCATGATTACAAAGTATAAGTGATACAATATAGTGTACAATGTCGAAGTAAAAACCAATAAGACCACAAATAATTGTATATAAGTCTAAAAATCCTAACAAAACTAACATTAAAATAGTGAACGTATCAGATTGCCAAGATTATACCAGGCTTTTTCCACCAAAAGGTTTTTCACTGCTTTTATAAATTCAATAAGGGAATCTATGGTCGGTCGGTTCGACGTGGGTGCTTTGTTCACTCAGTCAATCGGCCGATGTGTGAATCGATGGTTCAAGCCGCAGGCTGAACTTGCTATCGTCCAAAGTTAGGAATCACACGTTAAAAGGTAAGACCTCGTTAGTCCTTAGCTCGCACAAGTTTCGACTTTTGAGGGTTGTCGTTCGTAGGGGTGCGATAGCTGGTTAACGGAAAAAACATATTTTAAACATACTTTTTAAACATGTTCTTGATTTCGACAGGTAAGTCATTATATATCTTACAGCCCTTGTAAATGAAAGTTGTAGAAGAAAGATGAAGTTTAATATCACTGTTTTGACAAGTAATGTAGAATGTTTGTTGACAGCCAAACCTGTCAAAATGTTTCTTTATAATCAATACCGTTTCTAAGATATGTAATGATTCTGCAGTTAATATTTCATGAAATTTAAAAAGTGGCTTACATGGCTACTTATATTTAGCTTTACGCATATTTCTTAAAGTCATTTTTTGCAATATGAATATGTTGTTGAATAGTTGCTGCAACTATGCCAAAATGAAATCCCATACCTCGTGCGAGTTTCAAATACAGAGAGATACACCAATTTATCTGTAGCATACCCTAATTCTATCAATATCATCTTAACTTCATAAAATATTGGTAAATGTTCATCGAATTTGAGTTTATTGTCAATATGGATGCCTAAGATTTTGCCCAGGTTTTATTTTCTATTATTTCCGAATCAATTATCAAATTTGAAAAAATAATTTACTATTTTTTCAAGTATTAAACGAAAGTCGGTTCGATTCACACTAATTGAATACTTTTTCAATATCTTCCTCAACACACTTTTTCGAGTCTTCAATGTTGGGACTTTTCTAGATGATGATAGTTATAGCATATAATGTAAAACTACCTAATGTATCAACATATGTTAGATCGTTCACATAGATCAAGAAAAGAACTGGACCCAGAACCGAGCCCTGCGGAACCCCACATTTGAGTTTTTAAACTTGAATTTCCATCAGTTCTTACTATCTGACTACGATTCAGTATGTATGATTCTATCCATTGATAGACTATCTTTTTGTTCCAAGTATTGGTTGTAGAATGTAAGCAGAAAAAAACTAAATCAGGTATTTTTTAATGTATACATAAATAAATTGTAAAATGAATACTATACAGAAAATTGCACTATTAAAATTATCTAACAAGGATGTAAATTCACATATTCGTTTAGGTAAAAAGTTGGGCATCTCAAAGAATAAATAACAAATGAAGTTCATAACATAAAACTTTAAAAAGTAAATTATTCTTGACACCTTCGAAATATTTGGTTGGTTTTTTCCTATGACGAAGCATGCATGAATATTTGAGAATTAATCACTCATTTTAAATACTTAGTGTGAGTAAAAAATATTTTTTGTTTTTGAATGTTGACTATGAACTTTTGCGCTTTGATTATAACTAAATCATTTCAAGTCTTCAAAAGAACTCTTCAGCTCGATAGACTTAAAAAATGTATTAACGTACATGCAGTAAGGTGCCATGAAATCTTTGGAATCAGTAAAATTTGAAAGTTAATTTACAAAATTGAATATTTTTTACTTGAGCTCATAGTAGAGATATCCACCGTTAGAAAACCTTTCACATATCAAACAAAAATGTCTTTGTACCTATTCGAATACATGAATAACAATTAAAAATTACGAAACCTAAAACAAATTAAGTCCATCCTCATCCAATAGAGATTTTCTTCCTCCAATCAAGCAGTGAAAACTTACAGCTTTTCTTTCAAAAATTACACCTCAACGTTCAAGTAACGGCCGAATCAATCAGAAAATTACAGCTTTTCAACTGCGGTGATGGGGGACCAATTCATAGAAGTTCTTGGCAGATAAAACAATCAAAACTTTTGGTGACACAAAAACTACTCGATGGTTTCTTGATGTTTTATGGGTTTTAAACCTTTTAGTACGTTGAAAATAAATTGAGGTTCAAAGAATCTGTTCGAGTGTAATAAAGTGGAGTACTTTATTTGACCATTTCAGATACTAGTATATTTATGACCAGTTACGAATACAGAATTCCGTTTTCAGAGTTACAAAGATGAAATCATCTACTAAAAAAAATAATAAAAGTGAAAAGTGTAGACCAATCAAAAGTATAATTACAAATTAAGTATAATTACAATTAAGTTGTTTTTTTTAGGAATACTTAGTCAACATCACTATGATAATTTAGGGAATCTCAACTTTCGGAAACGATATAAAGGGTGCTCGGTAGCTTTCATTAATTTTCAAACAGATAATTAAACTTTTTCGAATGAAACACCATGCATTTTCATTTGTATGAAATGTTTCAACATTTCACTACATTATTTATCAGAGGTATACTATATGAAAAACTGATATTTTACAAATTATATCAAGTTTTGATAATTATTGTTGTAACCACAAAAAAAATTATTTTATTACGTTCGTGACAAGTTCCAGGGAATTGATGCTACCATTGATTATTTTATGAATTAGTGTAAGATCTGCTTCTAATCTTCTATCAGCTAGAGTATTCAAGTTAAGAATGTCCAATATAATTTTATAGTCATATTCACCTATATTATATCCCAGTTTACATGCAGAGTACCTTAAACACTTATTTTGAACACTTTCAAGCATATCAATATCCACATGATATGAAGGGCACCAAATTATGGAATTGTATTCTATTATTAATCTAACAATTGAACAATATATGATTTTTATTGAAGTGAGAGATAATTCATTTGCAGATCTAAGAATGAAACAGAACATTTTTAGCGCTTTAGAAGTAATATTCGCAATATGGGGTTTAAATGACATTTTTGGTTCGAGAGTGATTCCTAAATCTCTGATTGTGTTTGTTGTTTTCAGTTCTGATTGATTGATTTTATATAGCCAGTTAATGGGATTTTTGTTTCGAAAAAAAGTAAATTTTTGACATTTGTCTATATTTAATTGCAGTAGATTTATATTGCATCAGCGAACAAAGTTATATAAATCGTACTGTAATAATTTTGTATCAGTTGAGTCATGAATAACTTTAAACATCATTAGGTCAGATATTCAAACTAATCGCTAGTACATTAGCTTTTTTCATACCATCTAGTGGTAGTTATCAGTGTAAAAAACCTAAAGAATATTTGTACTTCTTTAAAAAACCAATCATCCATGACTGACATCAAAAAATGAATCTCAGAATTTGTCAATAACGCCATGTGGTAAAGTTTCTTTCGCGTGTAGATTGAATAATTTTCATTATGAATTATGTATTGCAAGATATGGTCTAAGCTTTGGGGGAAATGACGGAAACTGCCTCCTTGCATCTAGGATTTACAAAGAGAAGTTCTCCGAAAGAAGACAACCAGATGGAAGGGCATTTCAGGCTCTAAAAAACAAGTTGTAAAGAACTGGTAATGTCAATCACGAGAAATTCGAACGTGTCTGCCCTGTAACAATTGAAGAGAATACATTTCAAATTGCTCTTCACCTTGTTGAAAATTTCCATGTGAGTTAGGTTAGGTTCAAAGTGAGCGGGTCTATTCGACCCGCCACCGCAACCCGCAAGGGTTTATTGTGGCTTACTCTTATTCTTAACGAAGCCGATTAGTTTGTATTTTTTTTTTTGGTGCCTTGGGAGCTATCTGACTTGTCCATTTATTCCAAGTCTCCAGAAAACACTGCAGCCTCTTGGGCTTATTGCGTTTATTCTCCCATCTTCTCAACTATGGTAAGTTC